AAAATGTTACAGTTGTGTTTTTAGCAGAAGGGATCAATTTTTCCCTTAGGAAGTTGAAGGGTCTGCATGTTTACTGAGGCTGTACATTGCACTGCTAGTACAGAGGTACGTGTTTATACAGAGCTTTAAAACACATTTTAAATTGTAGGGGGGGCAACTCAAAGTGCTGGGATAAACTTTTTTTGAGAAGACACACAAAACCTCCTCCCTTTCCCCTTTCCCGTCTCTTTTCACCGAGGTGTAGCCCGCAATTCTTTCAAAATTTTCGGGGTCCTTTTATCCAAAAATGTTTCAACAACAGCTATCATGTCGGGGCGTCGAGTGCACAAAAATATGTGTGAGCTCCCAACTTAGTAATAAACCCCTAAGTTGGCCACAGGATGTGATAGACTGGCTCCTCATGATGAAGTGGGCAGTTGAGGGGGTGGGTGTTTAGGGGAATGTAAGGTCCTGCCCTTAAGAGGGTAGGGTACTGAGGGAGTGCAGGGGGTAGGTCTGGGTCTTGTATAAGCACAATCCCACTGTGGGCTGGGGTAGGGGGTAGCTAAGGGGGGAAGGTGGAGAGTGTTTACCAATTCAGAGATCCCGCTGGGTTTGTTTTGAGAACAGGTCCTTAACAGGGGGCCCTGTCTGTCAAGTTCCTTTTTTTTTTCGCATGGGGCCCCCCTTAGTCCTTTCTTGTAGCAGTAATTTCACCCGGTTCTCGCAGGGAGTTGTTTGGGATTGCCCCTTCCGGGGACAGGGGAAACACAGCCTAGGGGCCTGGAGGGGGACTAGGGTTTGTTGCACCTCCTTTTTTTGCAGATTTTTCCTCAGTTCTGCCCCGGAAATGTGTAGGGGGGGTGAGAGGGTGTAAGTTTTCCTCCCACCCTTCCCCACCTCTACCATTTGACAGATGGCCCTTTTGTTCGTACTTTGGGCAGTAGGTGATCAGGTGCATGATATTCCCTTCATTAACTGCACCCTTCCTGGGGGAGAAATCCTGGCTCAGAATTGCTGACGAAGCACTGCACCAGATTCGAATAGTGTTTCAGGGGTTTCTGACAGGGTGTGGATCAGAGATGGGATGTGCCCGTCAAGTAATGGCAGTGGGTGAAGCAGAGATGTAGGTGTGGAGAATTAAAGATCCAAGGCTTCCCTCGTTGCTGGGAAGAGATTTGTTCCCTCTGGGGGTCAAGGAATTGTGTTGAATTCCCAAAGTATGTTTTTAACTCTGTCAGTCTGTGGGGACCTTTGCTGACAAAATTTCCCCAGTTGTTTACCCCCGGTTGCTCAGTGTGGGACTTCCAGTCTTTTCAATAGGGCACCATCGCTGAGCGCTTACGCACTTGATGCAGGGTTGCACTGGCCTTCTACAATACTTTAGGTTTCTAAATTGGGAGCTCATGAAGTGCTTTTCCCGGAGGATTTTCTTAGCTGCAACTTTACAACACGCCCAAGAGGGCATCTTGATCTTTGGGGCAGGAGTCCCGAGGTAGACTTCTGAACCTTCCTCCTGTAGCTCCGGCTTGTATCCCCTATACCCCCCAGGGTATGGATATCCTTAAATGTTCGAATTTTTAACCTGGCTGCAACAAAATTCTTCTTCTCTCTTTCTCTCTCTTTCTTTCTCTTTCTCTCTCTTTCTCTTATCTTTCTCTCACTTTCACTTCTCTTTTCTCTCACTTTCTTTTCCTCTTTTTTCTCTTTTCTCTCTCTTTTTTCTCTTTTCTCTCTCTTTTCTCTTCTCTCTTTTCTCTCTTTTCTCTTTTCTCTCTTTTCTCTCTTTTTCTCTTTTCCTCTTTTCTCTCTTTTCTCTCTTTCCTCCCCTCTCTCCCTCTCTCTCCTCCTCTCTCCTCTCTCTCCTACTCTCTCCTCTACTCCCTATCCTCTCCTCTCTCTCTCTCTCTTCCTCTCTCTCCTCTCTCTCCTCTCTTCTCCTCTCTTTTCTCTCTTTTCTCTCTTTCTCTCTCTTTCTCTTTTCTCTCTTTTCTCTCTTTTCTCTCTTTTCCTCTTTTCTCTCTTTTCTCTCTTTTCTCTCTTTTCTCTCTTTTCTCTCTTTTCTCTCTTTTCTCTCTTTTCTCTCTTTTCTCTCTTTTCTCTCTTTTCTCTCTTTTCTCTCTCTTTTCTTCTCTTTTCTCTCTCTCTCTCTCTCTCTCTCTCTCTCTCTCTCTCTCTCTCTCTCTCTCTCCTCTCTCTCTCCTCTCTCTTTCTCTCTTTCTCTTCTCTCTCTTTCTCTTTACTGGCTCAAAAGATTTCCTGTCTTTCTCATATTCATACTTGAGCTAAGTGATATTGTAATTACATTACCATATCTGTTTTCCAATAAAGACAAATTTAATGTCTTAATACATGTATTCATAGCTCATATTTCTTAATTCCATAATCAATATTTTTTTCTTGTTTCTAAACTTTATCTTTGTTAGTGCAGTGTTTGATAACCTTTATGAGCCTAACACCTCCCAATTAATTATAAAATAATAATAATAAAGGAGTGACATCTTAAACTGTCATATCTGAGCACATCTGCAAAGACAGTGATTATATGTGAATGATGGTGAAAGCGTTTTTTTTTTTTTTGGGTCACCTTGCCTTGGTGGGAGATGGCTGGTGTGTTGAAAAAAGAAAAGAAAAAAAATAATCATCCTTCTTTTATCAGTGCTTTTTTTTTTTAATTAATTAAAAAATCTACCATCCACTGTAATAGAGTGATACTTATTATTTCAAGTTTTTTATTAGTTTTCAGATTAAAAATTCTTGAAAAACTGTATTTTATCCTTGAAATCTTAATGCACTCACTTCATTCATTACTTTCTCTTAAGTAATTTCTGTAACTGTCATAGCAGCCTCAAACATTTTATATAGTATAAGAATTTCCTGATTGAAAACTGAACTTATTTGCTACCTACTATCTAATTTCTAAAATACAGTAATGCAGATGTTCTGGGTACGTACTGAACTTCAATGTTTTCGTCCCAACAGTTAGTGACATGTCTGGTTCAGTGTCTAACTCAAGATCCTCAGTGCTGGAGTATATGGTCACAGCTATATCTCAAGCATTTGCCACAGTCAGCCATCTTGCTTCATCATTTAGGTTAGTTGAAAGTATCATCTAGGCTCTAGGGCATTTTATGTAATGATGTAAGAATGTAGTTTATAGGGGCTTCAATTATTTGCCTTTCCTATATGCATACTCAACTATTTGTAAACATTTGTTTAACCCTTTCGGGGTCAGTCCCCAAATATTATGGCTTTGAAGCTAGTGTTGGTCCCATAATACTATGCCAAAATTCTAGCAGCTTCCAATCTTGCGGGAGAAAGCTGGTAGGCCTACATATGAGAGAATGGGTCTGCATGGTCAGTGTACACAGTATAAAAAAAATTCCTGGAGCACACAGTGCATAATGAGAAAAAAATGCAACCGTGTTTTTGGTGTAAAACAGCGCCTTGCGGCGTATTTTCGTATGGTTTTTGTATCATTTGATGGAATGGAAGATATATTAGAGAAATAGAGATGATTTCGAATGGTTTACAGACTGAAAGCAGCTTGAAATTGAGCTCAATATAGTGGAATTTTTCAATTTTTGTCGATGTTCAAGAGTAAGCAATTTTCGTCACACATTCAATACACATTAACTGGCCTGTCTGATATGCACTGACATTATTTATGCAATTACTACCATTATACAGTAGCCTGAATAACAGTAAATATTTTATTTTTTGTGTGAATAAAAATTCAAAACGAAAAGCAAACATAATATAAGAGGGGTCTGGAAACGTGATTAATGAACTGAGAAAGCATTATTTTAATGCCAGGAATGTCTACATTATTTATTCTTGACCCTATTTTGAAATTGGCCTTTCTTGAATTTTGTGTGAGATTGGCCAAATTAGTAATTTCTTATCACTTTATTGGGTAGTTGAAATAGGTAAATGGGCAGTTTCTTGTACTCAGTCGATAGAATAAAAGGAGTTCTAGCAAAATTGCTATGAGTTTGGTCGACTGGAACAATGGAAATGGTCCAAAATAGGGCTCAAAGTTGGCGAAGTTGCTGATGCATAAATATCGCTGAGACTGCTAACTTTGCAAGAGTGTAATTCTGTAAGTTTTCCATCAAATATTGTGATTTTGGTTTCATTACCTTCAGAAATAGATTCTCTATCATTTCATAAGATTTTTCTTCTTCTTCTTCGACCCTGGGAGCAAGTTTGTGAGCAGGGGTCTCAACCCCTCAAAGGGTTAATAGTTGCAGGGGTCGATTCTTAGATCGTGGCCCTGCCTCTTAATTTGCCACTCTTCTGATTCACTCTCTCTCAGCCTTGTGGGCCCCTGTCATACCTGCTCTTAAAACTACATATGTAGCTTGCCTCCACCACTTCCTCACCAAGATCATTCCACTTCCTGACCACTCCGAGACTGAAGAAATTCTTCTAACATCCTTTTGACTTCCTGTTTCTTATCTCTCGAACAGCCTATCCCTGTTTACCTTATCAATTCCCTTGAGTATTTTGTATGTTGCGTCCCTCCTGGCTTTGTTTGTCCTCCAATGTCATTAGGTCCAGTTCTGTTTGCCTTTCTTCATAGCTCATGCCACTTAGCTCAGGAACAAACCTTGTTGCACACTTCTGCACTTTTTCCAGTTTCTTAACATGCTTTTTCAGGTGCGGGTTCCATACTGGTGCTGCATACTCCAAGATAGGCCTAACGTATGTTGTATAAAGGACCCAGAATGACACTTTATTGAGAAAGGCTACCCTAAGATTTGCCAGACAAGCACTGGCTGCAGAGGTTATTCGGCTGATGTAAGCCTCTGGCATTATACTTGGCATTATGATCACCCCTAGGTCTTTTTCTTTTGAGTGAAGTCTGCAACCTCTGTCCCCCTAGCCTATTCCTTGTTTCTGGTCTTCTTCCTTCTTTCCCAGTCTGCATTATCTTGCATTTGCAGGGGTTGAATTCAAGTAACTACTTACCTGTGCATGTGTTGGTGTGATGTGTATGCATGTGTATTTTATGTTCATTTTGTGTATGTGTTTGTTTTGTGCTTGTTTTTATATGAGGTGCTAAACCTTTTTATGTCATCCAGTACAAGGAGTGATCAAGGCTTGATCATTGATTCAATCTAACTACTCTTTGACTGTTTTTTCTCTACATTGTAAAGAGAATTGCATTGTTTCTTGCAGTTACTGTTTGCATCTATATTTCAACAGAAATATGTTTGTGTACTTCAGAGTTTAGAATTTAACACTGTAAACAAAATCTGAATACACACTTCTGTTGAAATAGACATAAAATGTAATGACAATACTCTTGATAGTGTGGGCAAGGTATGCAACTTATGTTCAAGAAGGGAATTTTCCTTTTTTTTAGTAAAACCTTAGTTTCTCATAAAACTTGATGACAGTTCTGTTTTGAGAAGAAAATTTGGCATTTTCCATCACTTTGTTCTAACCTATTTTTTTTTTCCACTGGCATCCTTCATTGATGTGAATAATAATACAGTAGTCTGATTATTTTTCTCTATATTACTTCATGTATATTAGTACTTCTGGGCATTGTGATTAGCACTACAGTACTTTATATTTTGTCTTTATTAGTTATAATATTTACTATATTTTACTCCACAGGCAAGCTCTTTTAACAACTAGCATAAAGTACTCTATTTAATTACCAAAGCCTCTTTTTCAAGTACTTGGACTCTTTGGGATGCAGAAGAGAAAGTTACCTCAAAATTTACACATTTATAGTACAGGTACTCTTCACTTAACTACCGAGTTCCGTTCCTAAGAGTAGTTTGGTAAGCGACTTAGTTGTTAAGCAAGGAGCCACCTCTTACTGATATTTCAAGCATACTGTACTGGTAGTGGGTTTGTGTTAGCCATTTTTAGATATTGTTTTAATGTCACTTTTGCACCATTAATAACATTTTTGGAACAGCCTCTCCTCAGGGACATACTCATTTACTGACGACTCGGACTTAGGATGGGCTCTGACCAGTATACATATAGTGAAACCCCGAGTTTCGAACGTATCGACTATTGAATGCTTCGAGTTTCAACTGCTTTTTTCGAACCCATTTTGTCCCGAGTATTGAACGCACCCTGTGTTTTGAACTGCTGGGTACAGGACCTGTCCGCCTGCCTGCTCTGTCCGTGTCCCTGCGAAGTCATCGTGAGCCAGTCTGGCTTTGTTTATGCTTAAGTGAACACTAACCTGCATGCTCATTTAAACATTTCATAATTAATTCATTGTGTTTGGTGCTTGTTTATTAAGTGCGACTGTGAAATAAGCTACCATGGTGGTGGTAGTGGATGGTATTGATGGATGGTGGTGGTGGATGGTATTAATGGATGGTGGTGGTGGATGGTATTGATGGATGGTAGTGGTGGTAGATGGTATTGATGGATGGTGGTGGTGGTGGATAGTATTGGTGGATGATGGTGGATAGTATTGGTGGATGGTGCCTTCTTCAGAGATTAAGGAGATATGTGCAATATGGAATAGGGTGTAGGCATTGGCTAAAAAATATCACCCTGAGCAAGCTGAAACAAGCCATCTCTGCAACAAGTTCAGTGACAGAACCATGTCCCATTTTAGGGAAATCTTAATAAGGGAAGTAACCCCCAGATAATGGCTTGTTACCTAAAGTCTTTATGAAAGGGTATTACCCTTCCAAACAATAAGTGCTCCCTCACTCCTCACGATCTTCCAGATGCCATCAACAGTCTTCAATAAAGGTAAGTAAAAATGTTATTTTAAATGTTTATTTATCTATTACTAATTGTATTATGTATGTTGTGTGTATGTAAAGCTATAATTAATCTCTATAAAATGTATTTTTTTTTTTTTTTTGTGAATAATTTTGGGTTTCTGGAACGGATTAATTGTATTTACATTATTTCTTATGGGAAATATTGCTTCAAGTTTCGAACGTTTTGACTTTAGAACTAGCTCCTGGAACAGATTGAGTACGAAACTCGAGGTTCCACTGTACCTAAATACAGTAAGGCCCCGCTTTACGGCATTTTGCCTTACGGCGTTCCGCTAATACGGCGATGTCAAATTATGACCAAAATTTGCTATATGGCAAGTGGTCTTTTAAATACGGCGCCCCCCCACCCGGTTTGTTTACATTTTCCGTGACTACATCTATTATGTCAGGAAACTTTCCAAAATTTCAAGTGTTTTAAAGTTACTGCATATTTTATATGTACTCTGATAATTATACTTATGTGTACCTGTACCTAAATATACTTACACACTGTGCTGGTGTGCAGGTACACATTAAAATCGCTAAGAGTCTCTCTACTCATGACGCTAATACTACGTAATAATAATCACTCTTGGGCACACTAAATGTCTTATTTTACAACAATATAGGCATTTTCATTAATCCATCTATGATATTTTCCTCAAAATTATATATGAAACCCATTACATAGCATATAAACATGATACATACACTCAGGTCTTTGTGGCATTTATGGATTTGGTAAAAGCAGCTGTATGGGCGGAAGTCG